TTCTCTGAGAAATAAGTCGACTGGCAACATCAACTTCCAGATCTGTAGAAAGAGGGACCGAATCGCAACCTCTCTTCACCGCCTCAGAACCGAGATCCAACGAAGCCAAAGGGAAAACTGTTCGTGGAGCATCGGCTACAGAACCCTAAGATCCGACCCGTCTCGTGCCATCCTCGCCACACGACTCGCTGCTGCTCCAGATCCATCCTCAGCCGGCCCGATTTAATCTCAGCCGCGGACAGAGCTTCCATCAGAGGCCTCCGATGAGCACCACAACCGCAAGCATATCACCGGGACTTGGAAGGCTCCGAGGAGGCAAAAGAAAAATGAGAAGAAAAGGGAAAGAGAGACCTCCGACACCGGTTAGGGTACCGGCACCGGGGGATATCCGCCACACTTATTAAGGTTTTGTTGCTTTTGGTTTCTGTCGAGAGAGAAAAGGGGTTTTTTCACTGCGAGTTTTATGCTTATTTAGTAGATTTCATAAAATTTGTTCTTTAATGTTGTGCGCATCGTTGGCTTACATGCAATGCAAGAATATAATTATAAGTTTTTTTTATCAAAATATAATTAAGTTAGAGCCATTTTCCTTCGAGACTTCTCGATCGACATCATTATCTGTTTTTTTTTTCCTAACAGTAGTTCGAGTATTTGCTACTAATCTTTATTGCAATATAAATCACATTCAATAAATGAAAAAAAAAGCCATTATAAAAATGCAAACTTCTTTATAAATAACGAACAGAAAAAAACATAAGATGATTTTTGCAGTCTAGCAAGCATCAGGGGTACTTCCAATATCAAAGTTCATGCTCACTTCTACAGAACTCTGCGAGTTCATGTTTTGACTTGTTCCTCCCCTTGAGTTTTCATATGCCAAGCACTCATTTAATTGAGTAACAACTTGAGACATGGTTGGTCTTCTAGCTGAAGAAGGATTTAGACACGACATCGCTAGTTCAACTGCCCTCCAGACAGAATCAGAGTCATAATCTCCATAGAGTTTTGGATCCATAATGGTTTTGAGGTCTCCTTTTGTAAGCATTAACCCAACCCATTCTGCTATATGTGGTTTTTCACGACTTTGATTGATGACAGGTTGATTTGTGATGATCTATAGTAGTACAATTCCGAAGCTATAAACATCACTCTTTTCATTCAACCAATTGGTTCGATAATATCTGCAAAAAAAAATTTTTTACGGCATTAGAAAATATAAAAAATGCAAAATTATTGATAAACGACTTCATAATACTTACTCTGGATCAAGATATCCAGGAGTTCCAGCAACTACTGTCGACACATGAGTTTCTCCTTCAACCGGAAAAGATCTTGAAAGCCCAAAATCAGCTAACTTGGCTTGAAAATGTTCATTCAACAATATATTTGTGGTTTTGACATCCCTATGAACCATTGGTGGTTTGCATCCATTATGCAAGTATTCCAAACCTATGCAACAAGTGTTATTTAATTTTCAGCAAGGTTTAAGAATATAAATAGAAGAAAAAACGAAGCTATATATCAAAGCTTATATCAAACCTTGTGCAGATTCGACGACTATTTTCAGTCTAGTTTCCCAGTTAAAGATAGATCCACCTCGTTTTCCTACATTGGAACCAATGTATGAATATATGAAAACACCATAAACAAATATAGTATCTGTAGCAATTCATACTTACTACTTACCTGACATATGTTCTTTCAAGTCTCCGTTAGCCATGTATTCATATATAAGAGCCAAATTTTCTCCTTCATCACAATATCCAACCAGGCCAACCAAATTTTTGTGGTAAACTCTAAGAAGAAGTTCCACCTAGAAGAGAAAAATAACCACAAAATCAAAACTTGAAATGCCATTTGTTCTACAAATTTTGAAAAAATAAATTTGCTAAAAGTTACCTCTGCCTTAAATTCTTTATACCCTTGAGAAGAAGAATGTGAAAGCATTTTAACAGCTACCTGTTCAGTACCATTTACAATCCCATGATAGACAATTCCAAATCCTCCTTTACCAAAGACTCTTCCAAAGTTATTTGTCATGGTTACAACCTTCTTGTAGATGGGTTAGATTCTGAAAGGCAGGCGCGATGATTCCCGTTAAATTACTTGATGATAAGTTCCTAAGACATATTCATTAGCGCAGATTACATAAAAATGAGAAAACGTTGTGAGCTAAACCGGCACAATATATAAAATTTAAAAGACTGGTCTTACAAAAAAGTGACTATAGGTGGCATTGAATTCTCTAGGTTGTCACAGTTTAAACCATCCCACAAGAACTCCCTAGGAACACATGGATCTCCTTGCCAGTTAACCTTACTCACTCCATAAGTATTTTGGATACTCTTGATAGCAAGCACTAGTATAAATTCTTGTTATATACATATTCAATACGTGCATAAAAATGTAGGAGTCAAATAGAGGTAAAAACATATTTGACATACCATCATCTTGGTTTGTTTTCAGTTGCGGTAGTTCGATCACATAGTAAATCTCTAAAGCGTTCATGAGAGGAGGAAGAGTAGATTTTGACGTTCTTGATAACTCTATGATGCATAATCCTTCTTCACATTGTTTTGTGGAGTAGAATATAGTTTCCATGGCCATCCTTTTAGGACTATAGCGTTCAGACACAAATTCACCATTCACGGATACACTGAATTCCCGGGTTTCATTGACCTGTAAAGTTTTAATCTCGGCAAAGTGCATGTAGATATAAAACTGGGTCGTGGAAGGCCAGAATGACCAGCTGAAAGACCATGGCGCAAAAGCATTTATAGGCGTTGAGGCTGACGCCATCACAACTTGTGGTAGATTATAATCATTAGAAGAAATGTTTGCAGTGGTATTGGTTACTTCTGTCCATGCAGTTCCATTGAAATAGGCTACCCAATCACGATCATGGACATCGTCGGGGTACCTAACAAAACTATTTTAATCATGTGTGAGAAAATACAATTGGGATGAAGATCAAAACCAATCAAACTGAATTTTTGTAGAAATTCATTGATATTCGTACTGAATAAGCAAGAACCTAAGCCGGGTTGAGATTCCGTGCAACAACCAAATAAAACAAAACTTCTCAAAATACATTCTAATTAAATATTTATGTGTTTTTTTTACATTGAACTCCATCAATACTATTAAACAGAAGATATATTTTTGAGATGCCCTTCTGTTTTAACAGTATTTACAATTCTCTGCAATTGAAATATTTTAAGCTATGTTTTTAGTTAAATGCTTTCCCTTTTTTGGGGTAATTCATATTAAACTATCTCCTAATTAAGTGAACTATTTTCCACTACTTTTGATATTTTTCCATGTGTAATTATACTTTAAATATATTTTTATGGTTTTATAAATTAAAATATATATCAAAGATTTTGGGTGTCATTTTCTTTTGAAAATATTTACAGCTATCTCATTTGATAGTAATATTTAGTGTGATTTTTAATTAGAAATATGAAATATTTATATACAAATATTAAGGGGGATTTGCCAAAACCAACCTAAAATTTCATTTCAACCCTAAAGGTGTACCCCTTATTGAGTCAAATGCAAAACCAACCTAAAGGGGTTATGAAGTTACTACTTAACCCTTGTGACCAAACAAAAAAACAGACAGTTATTTTACGGTTCTGTCCTTTGCAAGTCTACACATAATAGAGAGAAGTCTACACATTTG